GGCTAACCGGCTTGTGCGTGATTCACCTCGTGAGCGCGATAGCTAACTTTAACACGCACATATGCTTGTAAAACCATTAGTGTTTTAAAAGAGAAAATTCATATAATGGTAGAGTGTTTGTGGATTATACATATCAAATCTTCAGGGGAAAGCCAGAGCTCCCACATGCTTGGTATGAATGTGTGTGAATGAAGCGTGTTTTTAGCACAGCAGATGTTGCTCCGGGAGAAATGCATTACAGCTAACGTTACCCTGATTTTGACATTGAATCTTTGATTATGTTCGCAATGGATTACGTTGAAGATCGTTAGTTAATAAATCATGGGTTAGTGGGAATCGGCTCTATTTACAGGGTAACGTTACATTTTGAGAACATTTAGCGTCTTACAATATAAGGGCCCCCCGTTGTTTTATTTATTTTTCTAAGAGTATGACTTTTCAACACAAGACATGATAAAATTGTGACATCAAAACTCAAGATTGCTCGTCTTGTTATTTAAAAGTTGCATATGAATATTTCTTATCTTGCCTATTTGCCAGGTTGATGCTTTCAGGGGACGAATTACAGCAGAGGTAAGTTACTACACATACCAAGAGTTTAAATATGAACATTTCTTTGACAATTGGGCTGCTAACGGTTTAACCATTCAAATTTAGGCTGAAGACTTGGTTGCAAATTTTTTCCCGAAGAAATTGTTAGAACTGGACCAGTTTTTGAAGGTAAGCATTTAATCAGAGTAAGATCTAGAACATCTACTTCTGCAGATGTTCTAAATAGCATTTTGATTTTCTCGTTGTTGTTTTTTTAGGATCCCTCAATTAATGTTCGTGAGCTGAAAGAAATTCATTCAGAAATCAACCTGACAGTGCCAGACCCAATTCTACTTGCAGACATCCATGATGGGCTTGAGGGGGTAAAATGTCATTTTAAGTGTCTTCATTCTTCAGTCAAAAAGTTGAATGATATAAAGACTCTGAATAGGGTAAAAAAAAGGCTTCTGTTGCTTTGTGCAAAATGATTTTTTTTCTGCCACGTAATAAAAAAAAATGTTTTCATCTTTCAATTCTGAGAATTCAGAATTGATATGCAGAACTGTAAGGTGGGGGTGGGAGATAGAATTGTGAGAAAGTTGCACTTACCTATTTTTTATTCTGTGGTGGAAATAAGATTCCATACATGAAATCTAAAGATCAGCCATTAACCCTGAAATATTTCTTCTATAGCAAAATGCTAAAAAGAGGAAACTCGAAGATGGTGCAGATGACAAAGGTGAGTTTTCCTGACTAAAGTAAGTTTGAAATGCATCGATACTGTCACTCTTCACTACATTATCCTATGTTTTCTGTTTGTAGTTGGCGGGACCAAGGTCTTTGTCATGCCTGGTGGAATGATGAAAAGCAATGGCAAGCTGGTGGAACTGATCGAAAAAGTCAAGCCTGAAATCAGAACTCTCATAGAAAAGTGCAACACGGTTGGTCCATGTAACCATAGTCTCAGACATACTCTCTCTCATTTAAAGTTTTCTGGGTAAATGTAATTTCCGTCGTTTTCTAGGTCAAGATGTGGGTTCAGTTGTTAATCCCAAGAATAGAAGACGGCAACAATTTTGGCGTCTCAATTCAGGTATGGTGCCACATCCTTCACTGGTCTTTCAACAGCAGTTAGCAACATTTTGTTATAGACTAGAAGCAGTAATTTGTGAGTTCAAGATGAAGTTTTGGTACTGTAAGAGAGTGTCAAATGCAGAAATTGTTACCTGGTTGTGATTCTGTTTATCTTCACTATCCACAGGAGGAGACGGTTGCTGAACTCAGAACAGTGGAAGGGGAAGCAGCTTCTTTCTTAGATCAGATTTCAAGGTACGTCACGCTATGTCAGACAAAGATTTACGTCCAGGCATTATTTTGTTCTTAATATTATCATCTTTTGTAGGTACTACATCACAAGGGCAAAGCTGGTTTCCAAAATTGCAAAATACCCTCATGTTGTAAGTCATATCTCAATTTAGATCAGGGATAGAGTAGTTATTTCATGTGCATAATATATATTTTGACTTTTACAGGAGGATTATCGCCGCACGGTGACCGAGATTGATGAGAAAGAATACATCAGCCTCAAGATCATAGTGTCAGAGCTGAGAAATCAATACGTAAGTATTGAAGTAACTACAAATATTGTTATGCAAATGATTTTGAAGATTATCTTTTGTTTTGATGTGCAGAAAAAGTTTTGATTAATGCATGTATGTGCTGTCCTAGGTGTTGTTGTGATAACAGATTTATTAAAGCAAAATTGTCTGACAGGTAACATTACATGACATGATCCTGAAGAACATCGAGAAAATCAAGAGGCCGAGGAGCAGCAACACTGATGCTCTGTACTAAGGTCACCCTCCCCTTTTGTTCGTGGCCTGTTGTTCCACCATTTGGAGCTAGCTTTAGCCTTCAGATGGTTCTAGAGCAGTCCTGTCACCCATTATAACCAGGCCAAGAGTGGGACCGCTCAATCAGACCTGATAGAACATGCCACTTAAGATAGAATTGTAAAATATGGTCACTATTTTAAACCCTTTAAAACTAGCCCTTTTTGATTTATCTTTTGTTTCTTAGCGGACAGTGTAAATGTATAAAGGCAGAGCCTGAACATGCGTCCTGAGGAAACTGTGTCGGATTTGGTTTTCTTTAATTAAAGAAACTTTTCAACAATGGGTTTCTTTTGTTCTTTTGCAAAGCCAAATTCCATGTTGTTGTTTTTAAGATCATTTCAAGTGTTTCTGAGATTCCATACGGGGTTAAGTGAATATGGATTTACCCTTAATGGTCTGTTTCTCAGGTCGAGAAGCGGAGAGGCTCTTATTGATGCTGTATTTCATTTAAGCAGTTTACGTTGTTCATCTGAAATGTTCATGTAGGCTAAATGGAAGCAAGGTGGTTCATCTGCAAGATTTTATTTGGAGTGTGAACTGACAGGTATTATGGAATATTATATTTTCATCTGAAGTGACATCAAATTCTGGAAGCTTTTTAAGGTTCTTTTTGTCCAGTTTTAAGAGTGATAAATTACATTTTGCTGAATAAACTATTGTTTTACAATACATTTAAGACATGGATGTCATTAGCTGTTCTTGTGTTGTGCTTTTGTCCTGAATATTTTTATTTGTTCCATATTAAAGAACTTGCATTGTTCAAGTGAATTGGTTAGTGGTATGCTCAACTCAATATAAATGTATTTGAAAAGAACGAAAACAAAGTAGATGGCTTTTTCAAGAAGCTGTCACTGCCTAAATTTTGCATGAAAAGAATTGTATGGACTTTACATGAGAGAAACTGGAAAATAAACGAAGGTTTTTCATATGTACACAATTTGTTTAAATATAGCATATGTTTGAAAAAAAAAATAGATTTAGATATGCCTAAACTGATAAAGTAATATATAAAAAGACTTGCACAAAAACATGTTAATTACATATTTTTAGTTAATTAAAATCCAAGTTTACTTAAAAGGATAGTTCACCCTAAAATGAAAATTAAGTAATAAATTACTAAACTTAATGAATTTTTATTAAACAAAGGGATAGTTCACTTTGAAATTATTTTTTATGTGATTTAGCTTACCTCAAGGGCATCCAAGATGTAGATGTCTTTGTTTCCACAGTATTTTCAATTTTGATGTTTTTAGGTCAAGCCCTTTGCAATCATAATGGAGGTATATGGGGTCCTCCTCAAAGAGCATACAGAGAAGTCAAAATTAAACATGATTTAATGACTCGTAAATGTAAGTACACATTGATGGCATAAGACACGAAACGAGCGGTTTGTGTGAGAAAACGAACAGTATTTATATCGTTTTTCAGTGTTGTAGTCGAGACCACCTCACTCGAGTCCGAGTCGACACCGAGACCAGAGAGAGTCGAGTCTGAGTCAAGACCGAGTCCATAGAGAGTCGAGTCCGAGTCGAGACGGTCGAGTCCGAGTCGAGACCAGTGAGGGTTGATTACCTAATTTACTTTTATTTACTTAGAGAAATCCTTTACTGAATATGATCAGTAAAAAGGCCACATAGTAGGTGGTGTTAAAAGTAATTTTATTACAATTTGTCATGCGCAGTTGCACACTAGAAATCACCAATCACTGGGCGTGTCAATCAATTTAAAGAAATATTTTATTAACATACATTAATAATCATGAAAAATATTTTGAATTGAACTCGAGTGGACTCGGGAATAAGTCCGAGTCCTTAAAAAAAAAATGTTCGAGGACGAGTCAATTCCGAGTCCAAATGGACACGAGTCCATGACAAGACCAAGACCATTAAAATATGGTCTCGAGACCGAGTCAGAGACGAGTCCGAGTCTCGAGTACTACAACACTGTCGTTTTTAGTACCTCTTGTTACCACAGCCACAAAGCACCTGCGCCCTCAGACCAGTTGGACATGGCTGTGGTTACAAGAGGTAAAAACGATATAAATACTGTTCGTTTTCTCCTACAAACAGCTCGTTTCGTGTCTTAGGCCATCAATGTGTTTAATTTGGACTTCTCTGTGCATGCTCTTTGAGGTGGTGACCATAGACCTGCATTATGTGACTGTTAAACACAAACAGTTTGACCTAAAAATATCAAAATTTAAACTACTGCGAAAACAAAGACATCTACATCTTGGATGCCCTTGAGGTAAGCTAAAACACATCAAAAATTAATTTCAAAGTGAAATATCCCTTTAAATTCCATATCTAATACCAAGATCATACTTTGATACTTTTGCGGCTTATTAAAAAAGCTTGATGCTGGTCAGCGGTGCTATTCACTGCCATTATATGAGTGATTCTAAAATTGGAAATGAATTTAGCTAAATTTACCAAAAACTCCACTTGTTAGCATAAATGATAAGAGCACATGGCACAAATGAAACCATAAATAAAATAATTATTGATAAATTCTGTTTTCCTTTTGATATTGTGGTAACAATTTTGTTTCCAAAATAACTCTTGATGTAAGAACTTCTGAATAAAATATTTTATCAGAGAATGCACACATGCCATTCAGTGTATTTAATAATTAAATACATAACCATTTGAAAAAAGCAAAAAATAATGACTTCAGACATGTGTACTTCCATTTATAAAATCACCCATATGGACGAGCGTGAGCGGGACATTCTTTAAAAGTAGGCTACTTTTTTGTAGTCTATCAAAGAAGACGGCATTTGAACACCACAACAGGTGAGTAATTTATGACTTAATTATAATTTCAAACTTCCTATTCGTTTACAATTTCAAAACAATGACATATAAAAGTGTTATTATAACCCTGGGAATTCTGTGATCTTCACAAAAAGCAAACCTAGAAGAGAAAACATTAAACATATTTAAAACCAGTTTGAACAACACACTCTCAGCTGCATCTGAAATCGCATAGCCTACTACAATCGCAACTGTATGCCTAAAACAGTAGGCTATGAGACAAAAGTAGTATGTCCAATTTCACAGTACTTTTTAGCAGTTGTGGAATAATTACTTAATCAAAATAAGCCCCTAATCAAAAGGGAGCATGAGATTTCAGTCGAAGCCTCTGTGTATATATAAAATATTACTGCCATATTTATTTGTAGTTGCAATAATTTCCAGCAGGTGTCAGCATGGAGGGATAAATTTAATGCTGAAGCAATTATGAAAACTTTTTAAACTTTGAAACACTGGTAAAGTTCACAGATAGGTCAATAGCATTTGTAACTTTAACAATATGTTAAACTCTCACTCTCGCTGTTCCTGTTCAATAATTCTTTGAATACAAGTACCTCATAGAATATAAGCAGGATGCAAAAACTCCTTGGGGACTATTCCGATAGCACCGTCTATCTCCCCGACCCACCACCCATGGATGTTGTATTCCTAGTTTAGAAAGACAGAAAAACAGAAAATTTTGTGAGGATTTGGCCAATGATCAGAAATAGGACACCAAAGTAAAATAAGTGTCACAAGTTCGCTTAAGTGTCCAGCAGAGTAATCTCAGGTGTAGTTCATCATATTAGAGAGTAGTTATTGTTAAAAGTAGTTTAAATAGCGAAGATAAAACATTCAGCAAGCAAGGAGTGCAAAAAAGTGCTGGTGTAAAATCAGTATGTTAAAGCATGTCAAACCAAGGCACTAGAGAATTTAAGTAAATATATAAACAGCCTTTATTTAAATAGCAGCTTAGGCAATTAAAATAAGTTTACAATTTATATATATATATATATTTACTTGAATTCTCGAGTGTCTTGGTTTGATACATTTTTATGAATAAAACATTCATATATTGTCCAAATATGTTTGTATATCCGTATTCAGTCTTCTCACAGAAAAATCTGCTGAACGAAGAGGTGTTTACTCAATTGCATATCTCAGCGGGGCCTTTGAACTGCATGTAAATAGATAATACAACAAAATTACATGCACCTGCATACAGCCATTCAAATGCAAATATAAATGTTAATTTAAATCTTAAAACACCAATTTAGACATTTCTATGGTAATTTTAAAAAATATGGTGATTCTGTTGTTAAGTTAAGGGACTAGTGATTGGAGAAACAAGGATTTAACATTGGCGCTTGGATGCACAAATGCTTATATTTGAGTTCTGGAACTGCAGGGTATGCCATTTTATGCCTTGAGCGAAGCAGAAGAAATCCTTCTTGTTTTCCCAGCGTAACATTCTCGAAATTCTCTCCTCTCCAAAATCAAATACCTATAAGAGCTATTCCAGCCCAAAGCTCTTCAGAGTAAGAGTGGAGAGAGCCCCAGATCTGGCCTTTAATGAATGAAGACAGACTCAGGTGGACAGGGGGTTATAAATGAGGAGATTAAAGAACACAGAGATAGACTGATAGTGAAAGACTGAAGGGTTTTAAGAGCTTTAGTATTCTAGAAGCACACACTGTACATTTAGACATGATGAGCATGTCATCCATCCACTGCCTGCTGAGGAGAGTAGGAACTAATTACCTTCCTCTCTTTAAGCACACCCACAGTGCTCAGAGCCTAATGTAGTCCTCAGCCCATGCAGATGAGGCGCTTTAATGATGCTATACGGAATCAAATCCATCTGGACGGTGAGCTGAATGCCGTTGTGGCATCAACGCCTCGGTAACGGTACATCTGAGAACTTGAGCTCTTTGTTTGAGAAGCATATGCAGATGGGGATTGTTGGAGGTGTAGATTGATGCTCTTATACAACAGCTCAGGTAAACAAGAAGCTAATACTGAGTAACTTACATTTTAGGGCCTAATATTGCAAAACACAGAGAGTTTTGCATTTTAATGTGCAGCTTTTCCATTGTTTTTCGATGCAAACATGCACTAGACTAGATGGACATGTTTGACTGTTCCATTCAAGTAAACAGATCAACTTTTAAAAACTTTTAATATCACTGTCCTGCGTTTAACATTTTTCAACGCACAAGCCCAAAACCCTCAGGTCATTCGCGCTGAGCAACAGTGTTGTTCTGAATGAAGCGTTGTATGAATGAATCAATGAATCATTTTTGGTCAATCACAATGTGGAGAGCTGATGATGCTCCATCTCTCCAAACGGTGTCCATATTGTTATTTAGATTATGAATGTTGTAATTACAAGGGAATAGGAGGGTAATTTTGGATGCATCAGGTAGCCCGTTTTTTTTTCCTAAATCTGAGGTGTTTTGAACACATCAGTTGAGGAAATGATTCAATGAATCCCTCATAAAGAAACTCATAATTTCATTTCAGAATGAATCAGAGTTTTAGAACAATTCGATTGACTTAATGATTCAATAACTCATTTATACGGATCATTTATTAATAAATTGAATCTGATCGATTTTTGAAGACAGCGTAGATTAATCTTTTTGCTGATATCCCACAATACTGTGCACTCCATTCCGTGACAAAGAGAGATGGCATCTGAAAGTTGCGGTTGGCGGTCAGTTTCTGTACAAATGTATGTTTTTGAACAACGTTTTTCACTTTTGATGTAATTTCTAGCAAGAAATTACTATTGTAAAAATGTAATTGCATGTTGCCACCTACTGTTGCAATGATGTAACCTACATAAAGAGTCAATGAAAAATCCCCACCAGTAATGCTCACACTGACAGACACACAGATAAGCGTTAAAACAGTGAAAAGTCCCAGTCCAGTTAAACTGTATTTCCAACGTATTCTCATCCCAAGGTGTCATATACTGACGCTTTTGCCATAGCGTATACATCCAACGCACACGGCACCCTTTAGGGTCAATATAACTCGCTTCGGTTATGGGTGGGTTTAGGTCTGGAGTAGGGTTAGGGTTAGACCACTAGGAGGCGCCTTCTGGCCCACATGTATATCTCCATCTCATATTGACGCTAAAGGGTGCCATGTGCGTTGGATGTATACGCATTGGCAAAAGCGTCAGTATATGACGCTTTGGGATGAGAACGGGCTGGTATATCAGCAATTTTAGAATGGCATTCAAAGTCAAGAACCAGAATAAAACAGTTGTAAAATACTCCTCGAAATCACAGGTGCCCACGGCTAATGAAGCCATTTGGAACACGCTGCACCTCCTCCCATCCAACACGCCTCCTCTGCCCCGCCTTTCTCCCCAACATGGTGTAACTGTGGGTTCAAACAGAGTACACACGCAGTACAAGAAAGAGAGTCAATACATTCCAGTGCAGTCCGTCCCATTTCGATGACTCGTGTCCTTTTCATTCCTGCCTCATTTTTCCTTCCTCCCAGTATTAGCAATCTGCTTTTCGGCGATGCATCTGTCAGCTAGAGGCATTTGGGAGACATCCAATCTGCGCCTGGCCGTATAGGGGTTGTTATAGACTAGAGATTTACCCGAAAGAACTGCATGGGACTGGGATAATGGGTGGCTTTTCGGGAAGCTGCTCTGTAACAGGACAGGGTCAGGTGCGTCTCGGTTTGGTCTAGGTCTGGTGGGCAGCTGTTGTGAAAGTGAAGTGTGTCGTTGCGATGGCGCTGACCTCCACATGACCTTCTCTGGAGGAAGGCGGAGTTGGCACAGAGAGCTATCAAGAGTGTGTGTTGCCATGACAACACCTGCAGTGTGCCACTGATATCATTTATTTTTCACTCAGGGGGGCGGCTGGCAATGGTATTCAGATGGGCCCATTGCTCTCCAGCGGCCAGGGGACAGATTGACAGCTAATGATGCCTTAAAAAGCAGCGGCTTAACCTGAACAATATCATGACAGGCTCAAAAGTGACTCCTGTCCATATTAACGGCAGAATACCGAGCTCCCTTTTTTTCCCTCTCCATTCTATAAATTTCCCCTCCAAGGCGACACGCTTTGCATGCACGCCTCCTTCCTCGATCGTGTTCTAATCATTTCCCTTATTTGCAAACTCTCCCTCGGTGCCCACACGCATTCATTTTTTCTGTTACGAGTAGAAACGCGCACACACACACTGTGGAGGCAGGAGACATGGCAATAAGAATGAGACATGAGGCCTCTGCCCCTGGCCACCAGCTGACTGAGGTAGGCCTTGGGAGTGATGGAGCGCAGGAAGTCTCTCATTGCCCCGCCGCTGAACCCGGCGCTCGGGTGCTACAACCCCCCTCCTCCACTTTTCCTCTCCTGCTTCTCTTTCCTTAACTCGCATCGTAAAACATCGGCTCCACGCGCTCAGTGCTGCACAGGGACTCACTCATCCAGCCATCTTAAAAGACAAACACCAATACGTCACGTTGTTTGCTAGTCCTAAACAGCAGACACGGCAGGTGGCGAACAGGTATTGATCTACCTCTCGAAGCAAAGACAGCCGTCGTTCAATTGATCTCAATCAGTGCATTTCATTTGCATGTCATTTTCATCTCAGCCAGCCATTAAGAAAATGTAGTATTAATATTTGCTTGGCGTAGTCAAATAAACCGCAGAGGAAACACCACAGGCCTTATTTAATCCCGAATCCTGGGCGTTCGAAGGTGCGACATCAAGTAAAAATGTGGAAGACCCAATAATCTGCCGTTGTAAAAGTACACTTGGGGATTACTGATGGCACTTAAACTTAATAGGCATTTAAAGTGGATTGTGTATGCTGCTGAGAGCCTGTAATGATGGCTGTTTATGTGGCCTCCCATTTATAATAATTATGCAGAGTGTGAGGGGGGGGGGCGGCTGCCGTGCAGTTCTGGACTATTGGCTTAGGCTGAATAATGACCTACTGTAGTTGACCGGGAGATGACCGTTGCCTTCTGCATGACCCCAGAACCCCAGACTCACCCCCTGATGCCTCTGCTGGTAAATAGAAAGCTCAATATGTCTATACAGCACCTCTGCGCCTATCTTGCCACAAAGAAAGCAGGCCTTTAGATGAGTCTGTGAGAATGAGTTAAAAAGGAGTGTCTATTTCCACTGGATTTTCCTTTTCTTTTATGGCACCTTTTTCTTTTCTTTAGGCATTTTGTAGGAGACTGACCCCCTGGGCGGGAGGCCAACTGGAGCCGTCATCTGTCTGAAGTTTATTAGGATGTGTCTCACAAGGGATAACAGTCACAATCACCCCGTTTTGTCTATGAGAACTACATTCATATGCAAATTCACATTTATGTCTAACTGTAAAAACCTGCACAGCGGAACATGAGAGAAAGACACATAAAACATCCATACCTATCAGATTAAATAGTAGTCTAAAAGCTGTTGAACTGCTTAAAAGCAGAAACGCATAAAATGCAAATATAAATATAATATTCTATATATATATATACATATATATATATATACATATATATATATATATATATATAAATGAGCTGGAAACTATATATCCGGCCAGGTTTTCTACACAAATCATGGGCCACCTAGCTTGAAAAACCTTACACATTTCAGCCAGAAGGTGGCAGTAGTGTCTACAGCCATACTGATGGAGCATCTGGTTGTTAACAGTGGGTTGGCCCTTGTCTAGACTGGCATCCAAGATTCCAGGTTTACAGCCCCTAATGGTGAGAGTGTAAAGCACATTCTGTAGAAAGGCCAGGGCTAAATGAAAGAAAGGGATACCAGTGGGCTTGCATGTTAAAAGGAGTCCTGGAGAAGTCTGCCTCCATTTTTAGAGCAATAAATCTCATTCCAGGATTTTAAGGGGATTCCACTGGGAATACTGGCATGTGTTGGGTCTGACCTTTGGGAGTCATGTACTTTGAATTTAGGGGCATAAATTAAGAGTTAGGAATGCAAAAGGACGGCATGGTTGAAGGTTTGGAAAAAGTCGCCATTGGCCCCTTCAACTATATGTAGGAAAAAAAACTGAACACAGCAAACCAACAAGAGCGCAAAGAGTGAGAGTTACAACAATAAGACAAATTAAAGTATATGTGTTACATGGTAGCGATTAGAGCAGGAAGAAAAACACCACCAAATATCCTGCTGTCCTGCTGCCGTGATTCTTCAGCCTTGAGGTGCTGAGCGAAGCTGGCAAATGGATGTTGGCGTTCTCCACTATTTCATGTTCAAGTGTTCTGACTGAGGAGACATGCGGCATGAGAAAGGAGACAATTGTGGCAGGGGGAGGCTGATCTGAAGGAAACGGGGAGCTATTAGTATCGGTGTTGCATGCGAAATTAACTCTGGATTAATCACCAGAAGATTAAAACTGAACATTGGGTTTAGATGAATTACAAGGCAATTCAGTGCAGAACTTAAAGGTGTACTTCACCAAAAAGGAGATCAAACCTGTAGCTATTTTTCTTTTGTGAAACACTAAAGAAGACAATAATATCTTGAAAACATTATCTTCATGTACACCCGAATGCATGAATATGCAAATTGGTCCCCGCCTCTACTCAATCACACCAGCTCGGACTACCTGATCCATTTGGTCAACTAGTAAACGCTACACAATGGCAAGTTGAAATATGGATTTAATTCCAGCGAGCCATATGTTTTGAACCAGAAAGTGATCCAGAAGAAGAAGAGCGAATCATACAGGCTCGTCTACAAGTCGATGAGTCAGAATGGTAATGTGTTTTATGTATCGCTCACTACCACGCCGGACACATACCGTTAATTGATATGATTAGCCTTTAGCTTGACTAGGCTATGTTATCATTAACAGTTAATAATGTTTTGCTTATGTTACACAAATCATGTTCCCATTCGCCAGCTCAAAGTCTGACAGCTGCCTTCTTAAAGTCAGCATTCTTAGAAACGAATTGAACAACTAAGTCAGTGGAAAAAAAGCCCCACCTCACACATTTAAGGGATTGGTTACATTTTTGTGATTGTAAGAAATGGGTATGTTTTTGAGACTGTTGGTAAATGGCAATTTTAAAGAGAAAATACTCAGCAATGGTGTTGACTATCTGAAGTTGCACATGAGTTCAGCCCATTTTCATCCCAAGGCATCATATACGGACGCTTTTGCCAATGCATATACATCCAACGCACATGGCACCCTTTAGCGTCAATATGAGACGCAGATATATATGGGCCAGAAGGCGCCTCCTAGTGGTCTAACCCTAACCCTACCTCACACCTAACCCTACCCCTAACCGAAGCCTGTTATATTGACGCTAAAGGGTGCCATGTGCGAATACGTTGAGTTGTCATATTAAAAACACCACATAGACATATAAATAACATTAAAAACTATTTTCACCACAGAGGGTCTTTAAATTTCATTTCTATGTTTCCACCAGAGCATAAACAAAATACTCCACTAATAAGCCATTAACTATTTTGTGCAAGTGTTATTCAAAATGCTTCCACATATTATAGATACGTGTAGTGATTTGTGTAGATGAGCCGAAAAGCTGTTTATTCACTGTAAGTGGTGGATCAATAAAGACTGATGAGAGAGCTTTTTTTAATCTGTATGCTCTGCTTACACCAGTGCTGTGACAGCGCTGTCGACCTCTTTGATTTGTGACTTCACAACGGTCAATCATAGCACTGCCTCAAAAACCTGTTGGTTAGAGGAATTGATTTAGCACTTTCCACGTCTTTATCACCTTGTAATTACGCTTGGTGTTGACACAAATATACTTGGCCTCCCCTCCACACCTCTGTGCAGCAGAATTTATGCACTCGGGTTTTATGACCACTGCTTTATGAGTGGGACCTCTAGAGTTAGGCTTGAGTCCTAGCCAACTGCCTATATTTCATTCAGTAAGGTCAACGTTCCAGGGAACACCCGTAAAAACAAGAGCAAGGAGCCCCACATTGTTTGAAACGATTCTGAGGACGCATCTGAAGAGGTCTAAGAGATTTGAGCGATACAAGTGCAGCCGTTTCGAAAATATTGCCATCAATAAAAGCTATTTCAATTACATGTCAGTCACAGAGGGATTAAAAGTAAGAGCTGTTAAATGTACTTGTCTGAATTTACAGATTGATGACAAAATCAGAGACATGCTCCAGCTATCTGAGATGGTTAGACTCATTGTTTATACAAATTAGAAATATGACATGAGATAAAAAAATAAATGACCCGTGTACATCCTTACCATGTTTTGATAGCCAACCGTTATATATATTCTCACTATTTTCTGAATAACAGAATCAAAGCTGTTTTAGCTGTCCTGTTATTTAATCCTGATTATACGGTTCATTAGCTGTCATATCTTTACATTTCATGTTAATTAAATATCAAGTGTGTCAAAGATGATGGTAGAATTCTTTCTTTAACTTAAAGGAATAGCTCAGCTAAGAATAAAAATGCTGTCATTCTAAACCTATATGACTTTCTTTTTTTCCTATGTAAAACAAAATAAAGTATTTTTAACTGTTAACTCTTTTTGTCTATGTAATGACAGTTCAAAACAACATGGGATCCAATTGAGTTTCATTGTATGGCCTGACAAAAACTGAACACATTTTTAAGTATCTTTTTTGTGTGTTTTGGAACAATGACAGAGTTTCGTTTTAGGTGAACTATGCCTTTAAGACATTGAGCTCAGTTAATGGCAAAATTAAAACATATTGATTCTTTCAGTGGTGTATCTTTAAGAAACAGCTACACTATGCCTTCCTGCTAATACCCCATTTGTAAAACACAAAAATATATAGATTAAAGCGAATGTATCAAATAAAGTGGTTTGCTCGGCCGATCACTCAATTTACCAAGACTCCACTACAGCGATGAATCAACAGCCTATTATTGAGAATGTGCCTGTGGGGCGACAGTATTGCAGTGGTCTATAGACCACAGATGTACAGTTTTCTGTTATGTCAATATGACATGCTATAAAACAGGCTCAATTTCTCTGCAAATCTCTCGGATATCTGTAATCTTTAGAAGTACTACAGCTTTGCTATAAAGCTGATATGCTATTCATCTTTTTCTAAATTGTGTGATTTATACAGAAAAAAATCTGAATAAATAAAAATCTGAAGAAACAGAAAACCACAAATCATGATGCATTATATTTTGTATATGGTCTTGTTTGTAAAATGCTACAATAAGAATTTACTGACTAAGTGAAGACCATCCCAGCTTTGTCATTTAGAATAGAGTAAATGAATAGCTGCTAAGAGAAAGTCGGTGTGTATTGACCGATATGACTCATCTTATGGCCAGCTGCGTATTATTCATCATTAGTGAGGAGATGGATAGAGCGAGAAAAGGAAAAGAAAATCAAAAAACATGCAGTATGCTTCAACCAACAAATCAGCGAAGGACGCAACCAACAGCGCTGAACTAAAAGTCTGACCTTGTGTGTATGTGTGTGTGTGTGTGAGAGAGACAAACACAGACCTTGCTGAGGATGTAGATGATATCTCCTCTCTGGAAGGCCAACTCATCGGGTCTGTCCGCTTCACAGTCCCACAATCCTTGGTAATAATTTGCATAATCTGAAGACCCTTTATTTGAAAAACGGACAGATTCATAAAAAATCTAATCTTTTTTTTGTCAATTTACAGCATCCCTCCACCACTGCGTACACAAAGTACTCACCAGCTTTTTCAATGAGCTCTTCAGCGTTGTCGGAAATTTCATCATCTGAAAAATACAGCCAAAGGTTAAACAAATATAAAAAATGTAATACATATTTTGTCACCATTCTATTCACTCTAAGAAAAATAGGCATAATAGCTGTCCACCATTGTACATAAAAAGTGCATATTAGTACCCGAAAGGGATACCAAAAGTATATATTTTAGTACCTAAATGGTACATAGACTCTTTTTAAAGGGGACTGTCCCAATGACAGCTTTTTTTTAAAAAATCTAAGAGCCTTGCAGCTAATACAGCTAATCTCATCTGTCAATTAATGCTATATATATATTCCTCACAGATTTAAATTCTGGATCAACTTTGTGTACCTCTGAACTCTTTCCTAAGTAAATTAAACAATATATGTGGTGCTGGCAGTACAGTCAACTCCCGTTTGATTTATAGGGGAGGTGCCAGGCCGGGTTAGATGGCTAGTGTGTTTCAGGCAGACAGGCATTGATTCTGGGCGTGGCACCTCTAGGTCTATGAGGTGACAGTGATAGCCCAGCTTTCTGTCTCCCACATCCATCCTCGTGCTGTCAGCCTGCCGATAAAACCACCGTCCAGCAACCCTATACTTCCCACAGCACGAGCTTGCCCTGAGCTTCCAGGAACAGCATGAGGAAAAAACATGCAAAGCTATAGTAGCCTTTTACCAAATGCTTGTGTGCATATGGAAAATTGCGTATAAAATATGTTTTTTAATCTGTTGTATAAGCTTTTATTTAAAAAGCTAGAGATTTTTGTCAAAGTGTAAATTGAGGTGTGTGTTCTGGAACCCCAAAATTTCCAGTAAAAATAAAATTCTCAGATTAATTTCCGGGATAGTGTTGAAGCATTAATGACGGTATATATATATATATATATATATAGGGGTGTAACGATACCCTCATGTCACGATTCGAGACATATCACAATGCTGAACTCATGATATGATATTACTGCGATACTCCAAGACATATGGTAGAAGGTTAACAAAAAATGGATTAAAATGCTAAATTTATAGATATTACGTTGTGGGTGTAACCCAATGCACAGAACATTGGTGACACCTGACATGGTTTTAAAGCTAGAATTGTTTTGTTTTTTTGATGATCATGCTTGCACTCTGTCACTGACTAGATATGTTTAATGTATTGTAGGCCATATTTGACATATTTAACATTAGACATTTGGCATTATCAGGATTGTCACTATCCACAATACATATAGCTGCATTTTTGAATTGTGATATATTGTGACAAGATATATTGTTACACCCCTAATAGCCTGTATATAGTTCAACTAACGGTTCAACACTCCTAGAAATGTATCTAAAATTTGTATATATAATTATACATCAAGGCTGCATTTATTTTAAAATACAGTAAAATAAAAAACAGTAATATTGTACAGTATCATTACAATTACTGTTTTCTATTTTAATATATTTTATTTAAAATTTTATTTATTTCTGTGATTTTTCAGCAGCCATTACTTAGTATTTAGTGTCACATGATTCTTCAGAAATCATTCAAAAATGCTGATTTAGTGCTCAAGACACATTTCTTATCATTATCAATGCTAAAAACAGTTGTGCTGCTTAAATGCATCCTTGCTGAATAAATACATTTCTTTAAAAATCTAAATCACACTGAACCCAACCTTTTGAACGCTATGATACACACGATTAGCCTACATTATTTCTTTGATGAGATTAGTTAATATATAAGTACAGTTAATTCAGCACTTTTTAGACAATGTCATAATAGGACCGCTCAGCACTTTTCCAAACTGAAAATTTGAGAGGCACAAGAAGATGAGAGAGATGAATGAAGGACAGAAAAGTGAGAGAAGTGGTCACTCGATCCGCCATCTGTGGCCAGCTCAGCTGCCCAGCACACATGGCAAATTAAGGTGAAAATGACAGCACTCCAGAGTGATCTATTTCTCCTCAGAGGTCTCATTAGGTCCTCTGAGGATCCTGCTATCACTTTGGGTGACCAGACCTTGATGTATATGCTCTTATTGATGGTGTTCAACATCGTAGAGTTGATGATTACAGCCTCAGTTGCTTTGCTCCACTAAAAGCCCATCAAACACTGATATCAGTATTTTAAGCTAGTGGTCAAGATCATCATTTGCACATACATAGGTTTATCCTTCAGAATAATTCAATAACCTTTTTTTTTTGTTTGTTTAAAGGGCCAATTCATCTTTTTTTTTTCTATACCTGGAAGCTCTTCGTAAATGTCCTCTTCGTCCTCTTCTTCATCTTCCTGAGTTCTTGATTGGTCCTTCCATTCCTCGCGGCTGCTTTGAGGGGTATGTCCCAGACTCTGGGTTGTGGCCGGTACAGATGCTGGCCCAGGACGTGGTGGTGGTGGTGTGGTAGCTCGTTCAATGTCATCATATGTCTCTTCCTCTTCTTCCACCTCCTCTTCCTCATCATCATCAAAGGGGATGAAGTTAGAGCTCAGATCTTAGAGAGAAGTCATAAAATCAATCATTAACATCTAAATAAGAAAAACGGCAGCAGACAAATCACCAATCTACATATAGTGGGGCACCAACAGTCTGTGACCACTATTAGAAATGCTTCTATTTAATGCTTATCTATTACAAAATACATAGATTGTTTTAATTTGAGTGTAAAAGTTGAACTTTACAAGAAAAAAAAAAGATTTTAAGATTTACTTAGTCTTGTGTTTTTTTCTTGGTCACAATTTTGCCTTGATGACAGTGGCACTTGAGCTGCATTTATTCTACAAGTTATATATAAGGATATTAAACTTCACAAATTTGCCTTTTCAAGTGAGTGGTATACAAATTAGTTAGTTAAACTCCAAAATCATTCAACTTTAGTTTGTTTCCAGGTTTAAATTAAAATTTGAATGATTTTCAGCACTTTTGGACCCCACTAAAGCTTTGGAGAATTTCTAAAAATACAATAAAAAATCTAAAAATAAAATAGAAATTTAGAGTAACTCCAAATAAATCTTAAAAAAAAAAGCCAAATTTGACATTTTATTACAGTTTTAATACTGAATGATGTTTGTGCCATTTGGCTGTATCCACATGTGCGAAGGGGGATGGGGAGGGAGAAAACTATCTCAGGAGTGTCTATTACTTCCCGCAAATCAGAGGGCCGCATTGAGCCCATTTTAGAGTGGCGAGGGTGCCTCAGATCTATCTCAGATGGAGTGAGGGCCTGATTGCAGGTGACTGAGCTCTGTAACACAGGCTATCGTATCCTCACTGCCTGGATGGCAAGCAGGACCAGATCGATGCCCCTAAAGGATGACCGGGCAAATCCCAATCAATTTCCTGTAAAGAGCGCTGCGCTACGGGGAAGAGGAGGCAGCCTGAGGCACGTTGGAATCAGAAGCTCCGTGACGTGGGGCATGAGGAGGTCTAGAGCCTATCTTATTGGCTGAGCCAGAAGGAAAGTTATTGGTATGCCTCTTTTTATAAATCTGCCCTTTTCACATCAAGACGATCACCGTTGTGCTTGGCTCAAGTCAGAAGCATTCAGCATAATATAAAATATGGTATGTATTACAATAAAAATGTATTTCATATCTCACATACCCTTAAGAACGAAATTGATCTGGTCCACCCATTCCCTTGCCTCTCGAGGACTGCTGGCAGTGAACTGCGGAGAGAAACTGTCATTGTTGATTTGAAGGCTATGCTCATTCTTCATTGTAATGACAGCAGGATGACTGAACACAGCTACAGTAATGAGCAATGTGACTGCATTTGTGTCTGTTGGACCTGGTAAGAACGTCTTCCAGGAGCACTCATCTCGAAGCATGAATTCTTCTTGGAGTCCTTGCGTAAGCTGGGGACCAACTCTGCACTGTAGCCATTGATATAAAAGGAGCCTTTCTGCACCTTGTCTGAAGTTAGAAGACAAAATCCCAAGTTTCTCAATATCTCTGTCTTTGATATTTATGAAAAGGCTTGTATACCTCTTTCAGCAGGACAGGACCCACCTTTCTCACTCCCGAAGTAATAAAATATGGTGTTGTTCAGAACGCACCATCGCTTTTGCCATTCCATGCTGAAGAAACTGTGATCTGAAAAAAAAAAAAAGAAAAAGATTAGAAATGCTAATGGACCTTATGTAACGTATGATGCACATGTTTTTCTAAGATTCCTACCACGTCTTTTCTTCTCCAGGTAGCCTTGCTTTAGAATGTTACTCAGGTCCTGTGCAGCCACCATAGGGATCTCTTCAAAAACTGTCAATCAGAAATCAAGGGAAATAATGTTGTGAAATTATGTTGTAATGTGACACACAACTAAGTAGTAAGAACATTTTTGAGTAAAGGCCCGTTCACTGCAGGAGTGATAACTATAAAGATAACTATAATGATAATATTTGCATCCACAACAGAGGACGATATTGTTCTATTTATTCTAAGCACGTGTTGCAGTTTTGTCGTCTGACTCTTTAAATGCTCGAGCTCTTTAAAGGAGGATGGATTCTTATTGGTTGTTAACGTTTTTAATCATTCATCAGCTGCAAAAAAATAGTTCTAATGCTATAATTTCTCTGTGCCGTTATCATTATCTTGTGATGTAAACTCAAGGACATTAATAAAATAATTCATTACTATAAAAAATGAGACAAAACCCAGACAAATATTTGTGTTTGGTTATATGGTAAATGGTAAAATGGTAAATGGACTGCATTTATATAGCGCTTTCATAGACCTAATGGCCACCAAAGCGCTTTACATATTGCCTCACATTCACCCATTCACACACACATTCATACACCAACGGCGGTGTCAGCCATACAAGGCGCCAGCCAGCTCGTCGGGAGCAGCTGGGGTTAGGTGTCTTGCTCATGGACACCTCGACACTTGGTCAGGTGGAACCGAGGATTGAACCACCAACCCTTCGGTTTCGGTAGACAACCCACATGAACCACTGAGCCACTGCCGATATATATATTTATATCACACACACACACACACACACTCGCCTAAAGGATTATTAGGAACACCATACTAATACTGTGTTTGACCCCTTTCAGAACTCCTCTACATGGCATTGATTCAACAAGGTGCTGAAAGCATTCTTTAGAAATGTTGGTCTATATTGATAGGATAGCATCTTGCAGTTGATGGAGATTTGTGGGATGCACATCCAGGCACAAAGGTCCCATTCCACCACATCCCAAAGATGCTCTATTGGGTTGAGATCTGGTGACTGTGGGGTCCATTTTAGTACAGTGAACTCATTGTTCAAGAAACCAATTTGAAATGATTCGAGCTTTGTGACATGGTGCATTATCCTGCTGGAAGTAGCCATTAGTGAATGGGATCATGGTGGCCATAAAGAGATGGACAATGCTCATCAACAATGCGCTGTGGCATTTAAATGATGCCCAATTGGGAATAAGGGGCCTAAAGTGTGCCAAGAAAACATCCCCCACACCATTACACCACCACCACCAGCCTGCACAGTGGGAACAAGGCATGATGGGTCCATGTTCTCATTCTGTTTACGCCAAATTCTGACTCTACCATCTGAATGTCTCAACAGAAATTGAGAAAAAATGTTGCCTCATCAGACTAGGCAACATTTTTCCAGTCTTCAACTGTCCGATTTTGGTGAGCTCTTGCAAATTGTAGCCTCTTTTTCTTATTTGTAGTGGAGATGAGTGGTACCCGGTGGGGTCTTCTGCTGTTGTAGCCCATCCGCCTCAAGGTTGTGCGTGTTGTGGCTTCACAAATGCTTTTCTGCATACCTCGGTTGTAATGAGTGGATATTTCAGTGAAAGTTGCTCTTCTATCAGCTTGAATCAGTCGGCCCATTCTCCTCTGACCTCTAGCATCAACAAGGCATTTTCGCCCACAGGACTGCCGCATACTGGATGTTTTTTCCTTTTCACACCATTCTTTGTAAACCCTAGAAATGGTTGTGCATGAAAATCCCAGTAACTGAGCAGATTGTGAAATACTCTGCAGCAACAATCATGCTACGCTCAAAATTGCTTAAATCACCTTTCTTTCCCATTCTGACATTCAGTTTGCAGTTTGTCTTGACCAGGACCACACCCCGAAATGCATTGAAGCAACTGCCATGAGATTGGTTGAATAGATAATTGCATTAATGAAAAAATTAAACAGGTTTTCCTAATAATCCTTTAGGTGATTTTATATAATATAGATATATAGCTTATATACAGTACTAGTCAGCATTATTTACCCCCTTGGTAAATATGATCAAAGATGGCTATAAAAAAATAAATCTGCATTGTTTACCCTTTTGAAATTTTTATTAAAAAAACTGTTAAAAATCAAATCTTTCATTTTTATGCCAAAAACCTGTTATCAAAAAGCAGAGCTATCTTGTAAAAAGTATTTAATAAAAGTGGGCAAATAATTGTTCCCAATGTGTTTTGGAGAAAAACATTTATTTCATAATGTGATTTTATTTTTACAGCCATCTTTGATCATATTTACCAAGGGGGCAAATAATCCTGACCAGCACTGTATATATGCACCCTTTAGCCTTTGCACCCCTAAATTTACATTTAACATTATCTAAATGTACAACCGATTAATTAGGCATGGAAGAGAAGGGGCAAAGTCATAAAAAAAGTGTCCCAGCACTGCTAATATGATGACAACTGTAACTTACAACTGAACTTAAATCTGGACCCACACATCTATTTTTAGCATGTTTTCTAGGCCATATGAGAGTGGCAGCACAGGCGAACAATTTACGAGACACAAATCCTCACCCTCGCGATCCAGCTTTCAGCTTCAAACCTCAAGGGAGCGTAGGCGACAGGTGGGCCTCTGGGCACGCTACCAGACTTATTTAAAACCCATTTAGACATGAGCAGATGCTTCCTTGCCTGCACGCTGATGTTGAAGTAATCTCTGTGGTATCTCTTCTCTTTGAGCTAAGGCTGCCATTCGATGCATAAAACAGGCAATGTTATGTAGTCAACTGTGCAGGGCTGTCTAGGACTTGTCATTGGAAAAAATGTTAGAAGAACAACGATGAGTGCAACTGGGATGTGAGTGGTGGATATAACAGCTGGGAGAATCTAATGCCCCTATAAATAAGACTCAGCTCATCAAACCCACCCAGTCTGTGTGACATCACCACTGAGCTCTGTAGCCTGCCATGTTATGTGTCCAGTTTATCAGACAGATGACCATCTCAGAGAGGAGCCCTTTGACCCTCACTCACATTCACCAACACACACGAACCTTCTCTGCACACACGGTCACATCTATGTCGTCATAAATACAACTGAACTACACACTGTTTGTCAAGGGTATGTTGATATATCATCGAGAAAAAAAAACGAGACCTCAGTCCAGCCACTTCTCTGTTAATTTTTCTCCTTGTGCGCTTTCGTCCTGACACCTTTTACTCCCCTCATCCATCCACATCCCCCTCTGTTCATTTATCTAAAAGGTCAAGCCCCGGTAATAGTTCAGAAGAAACAGAATAAACAGAAGAAATGTGAGAATGGCGTACAATTAACAGTCTCTCTAATCTTCACACACCTACTGACAACCTTCTTCCTCAGGCCTTGCTGTCTGACCCCATGGTGCGGTCAGAGACTTAAGCAACGGTAAAATGAATGACTGAACACAAATCCGCCATTCTTCACAACCTACGACCTGCCTTTCTGTGGAAACTAAACAGTGGGCGTGTGTCTGGGCAGTCACTATATTCGTGATTCTTCCACAGGGTAGCAGTGTAACCAAACATTTCACCTTCAGAAAAAAAAAATGGCATGTTTTTCCTTTCTGAACTGTCTCCAAGGAAACCCAAGATTCTGATTGGACAAACAGATTCAACTTCAGTCATTTCTTTCAAACCAATCAGAGCTTGATATTTTTAAAGCCACAGAGGACAAAAAGCTGCCAAAAATGCAGGAAAAAAATCAAGAGGGCGAACCATATTCTATTTCTGCCTGTTTCTTGCATTTGGTCTATTTCCTTTGATTCTACATGTTTTTTTTATAAACCTACACATCATAAACACAATCATTTACCTCTGTAGAACTGTTAAAGCATCATAAAATATGCACGTGGAACCGGTCTTGAGGATTTTCATTTCGGCTATAAATTGCATTTTTAATTATTCAGAGCAGTGAGGTTTCTTAACTCTCACCCCTGCATTCCCCCTCCTTAATTAGCATAAGGCCAATCATTCCCATTTAAATGTGCTGTGGATGTTTATGAATATTTCAAGAGTGTTACATCACCATCGTTCTCAGAGGCTTTGTGCCTTTTCCAACTTCATTCATTTTGTTTTCTCATGTTGTTCGGTGCCAACATCAATTTTTATAAAGTATTCAGTGATTTTTTTTAAAAAATGGAGCATCAAATTGTATAAAAAAATAAAAAAAATAAATCAGAGTACTTATATATTTAGTTTTCGTTAAGCAGACGTCCAATTCCGAGCTCAATTTTTGTCAGTAACTCATCACAAGAGCCACACAAAAACGAAGAGATGTGAGGAGAGGAGAAAGGGAGCGAAGCAAAGCTAATGACTTTCCTCTAGGCGCTCTCGGCGGCTGCTAGACGCTTTGTGGTGATGCATGACGCGGCCTCTGCAATGTGGCAGGCCGAGATTGGTGGAGTGAGGCATTGAGCGTGCCACGCAGAGGGACGTTCATCAGTGCCATGGCAGCAGGAGAGCGGGTACTGATGCCACGAGAAGAGCTCGGCGGGATACCGGAGAACCAAGAGCCTCCCTCCACCTCCTTCTAAACATGGAGGTATAGGCACAGCTCCAGGTCACACTACTGCCATCACTCCACAGCACACTGCCTGCCATCACCAATGTGCGGCAGTGTTTACTCCTCACGGACTCGTTCTGCAGAGAGCCCTTCTGTAGAAATGACAGCCAGAGCAGCAGGTCTCAAATGAGTGGCAAACAAACAACCTCATATAGTATTTCATTAATTACCATTCATCATAAGCTCATTTCAGGTATTCATATCAGATAATAAAGCTAGGCTCTGTGCGCATTTAACATCACCAACACACAGAATATTGCGCTCACAGGTGATGTTATGAGCACAGCAGGTGATCCTGCTATAAAAATCTGATTGATTTTGTAATGATCGGAGGAATTGAATGTAAAAAAAACAAAGATAGGTCACAGTCAGTAGTGACAGATGCAAAGGTTTGTCAAACAATGAAATGTAGTTTTAAAGTTGGTTTTCATTCTCTTTATAATGCCTGACTAGGGTCAC